TTACAAGACCAGACGGTTAATGGTGTTCAGACAGACATCTGACTTGGACTGTTGTCTTCAGGGTTTGACGCCATGAAGTCTTTGAAGATGGTAATTACAAACAAGATTTCACCGCAGTGAAAACCTCAACTTTAATAAACTGATGCTTCTTCTGAGAACAAAATTAAATTAACAAACAGGTCTATGTTACGCAGGCAATATAGATAGTTACTAACTGTCAAAGAAGGTAGTTAATGTGCTTACAACTGAAAAACTCGGGATGAAAGAGTTGTTCAAAAATTGGTTCGATATTTTACAACGATGTATCTACTGCTCAGGTTATATCCCGTTTCATTTGTGAAGGCTTTATCCCTAGAGTCCGCCTTTAGAAATCCACTAGGGTATCGAAATTAACACAAAATCCTTATTTGGTACTGAAAAATATGGCAACACAGCCTGGATGTAGTATATTTGTTTTTACTATTAATATTCTGATACGTGGAGACTAACCAATGCTCTGTATTGCTTTATTTACATCGTTCAAGCAACAGAAAATGTAAAGCAAGGAGTGGCAAAACGTTCTGGGAGAACTTTTCATCGTTACTTTCATCAAATGCGTCAAGGATTATAAATTAATAATTAATCAACACTATGATATATATATATATATTCCTATAAATTATTTTCTCCAATATACACAGTGAGTCAGAAGTATGTTTACAAACGTCGTGTGCGTGTTCCAGTATCAAAAATAAGAAAAAAATGTTCATGTGAACATGGGGTCGCAAATGTTTCATTTTCGAAATAATATCCAAAAATAAATTTCAATGAATTGACTTCATACCAAAGTGAATCTATAGCTTCCAGCAAAGATTTTCAATTAACGTTTGCGCAGGAATTGTTGGCGACATACTTATTGGTCCACACATGCTTCCATCACGTCTAAGAGGACCTTCATATCGGTGATTCTTAAGAAGACGCTTGCCACGTCTCCTTGAAGATGTACCACTGAATACAAGAAGACAACTGTGGTTTATGCACGACAGAGCCCCAGCACACTTCTCCCATCGCGTAAAGTAAAATATATTTATACTTGAGGTTAAACGGTTAAGTTGACGTGCGTACAATGAACTGCAATGATAAGTAAGTCGAAGACTTTATGTTTAAGGACAATAAATTTTGTAAGGATATAAAAAGGATGTGACCGATTTAGAACTGATCTGCTAATTCTTATCTCACCTCGCCTCGTTAAAACATCCTCAACTAAGCTAATTTCACTCCAGCTACTTTGTCAGCGGGTACTAGGTATTAATCGCGAGACAGACCATTTCTACTAGAACTTCCCACAAAGACGACTGTCTTCTGGGATATCGCGTCATGTAGTCTTATAAAAACTGGCCGACGTTTCAGAGGTCCTTACTGCCTCCATGATTGCTCTGATAATGGCGGCAGTAAGAACCTCTGAAACATCATACAGTTTCTACCAGACTACACGGCGCGACATACGAAATGACAGACATCACACTCGTCGCCTGATAACCTAAAATGTCACCTACTCTATAACAAAAATGCAGCCAACGAACCCAAGGTCTTCAGTCATAGCTGGGTGCAGAACAGCAAAAGCTTCAAGCTAACCGCCTTGGTCTAGTGCCAGCGTATCAGAACGCGTGTCACTTTACCTACACAACGCTCTTAGCTACACGGAAACTAGCATTTTCTAAATTTATTCTGTTTTTAATTTCACAGTTAACGGAATACTTAGTTGTTACGCGTGCCAAATACTTGAACTATGACATTCATGTAACACAAAAATTATTTCTGGCAAAGAGAAGTAAGTTCTTGTCCACCTGCTCTAACTTCTGCTAGCATAGTACATTACAGACTTTGAGTAAACACCTGGCAAGGCGATAATGAAATCTTGTTGTATATTTTGGCTGTTTCGCATTCTCTCAGTTACGCGTGAGATTGTACGGACTCTCACGAATTTGTAATACAATCTCTTGATCATGCAGGGACCTGTCATATCGCGTTTTCTCTCCTGGCCGTCTGAATACCAAACCCATAAACTGACTGCATGCCCAGAGTCTTCTATTAGTACCGAGTGACTTTCTGAGTTTGTCAACAGATTCCTCACACGAAGTTTTATCATCCCGTCCGCAGAAGTCGTCTTTCGGCCATTTTCTATACTCGTTCAATGCAGTTTACGTGTTCAAAATATATTTAAGATCCGTTTTAATATATTCTTCCATGTACGCTGAGTGGTTTCCATTGTTTTACAGTAAAAGTAAAGTAAAGTTTGTCCCACTATACGCCATGTAGGCGTTTGGGGTGAGTGGAGGTATAGCTCCTCTCTTCCTTGACCTCGGCACTAGAGGGGGGTGAGTGGTCAGCATCACGCCCCGGCCGGCTTTACCCCCGGGAAAGGACCCCGGTACCCATTGTACAGGAGGCTAGGGGGGCCCCAGAGCCGGTCTGGACGCAGAGGCTAGAGGAAAAATCCTCTGCCCCCGTCGGGGATCGAACCCCGGTCGTCCAGCCCGTAGCTAGTCACTATACTGACTGAGCTATCCCGGCTCATATTGTTTTACAGTAATAACTTTTATACATTTGTTGTTTCCTACTTCTCTCTAAATGTCCCGATCATTTCATCCTTCGTTATTTAATCAGCATAATAATAACAAGGACTAAAAAAAATCTTCCGTAATCCAACATTATCAGTTCCACGTAAGTTAACACATTTCGGTCAAGTACTCAGAAGCTCTCAAATACGGATAATACCTGTTTTCCAGAGGCGACAGACCTAGTTTGAAACGCACAGTCTAATTCTAAAGGTTAAATTAAAATGTTTATAGTTTAATCTTTAAGTTTGATGAGGAAACGAGAAATAAAACTATTCTAGGAAGATGGCTGTCTTCTGGGTTGTAGCGCCGTGTAGTCTCGTACAAGTTTACCGACGTTTTAGAGCTCCTTGCTGCCTCCATCATCAGGGCGATGAGTGAAACTTTGGTAAACTTCTACCAGACTACACGGCGCTTCAACCCAGAAGACAGCCATCTTCGTACTCACTGACGTGAAAACCTCAAACCCCAAAAACTATTCTTCTACCCTGAATGATGCATTCATTTGTTCACGCATCCCGTAGAAACGTATTACCTGCGTCTTCAACATGCATTACAATTTACAGCAAACTTTAATGAACAGGACCACACAGGGTCTAAGAACAGGCTTTTCTGATCACGGTAATTAACCTTCTAGTTCCAAAAGAGCAGGGCATTTATTGAACATCGGACTCACTGTCAGAAAACACTGTGACGTAGTGGGTTAACAATTTTATGCTTTGCACACAAAGCGATGTTGTGGTTTATTCTATGCATGCTACGTGCCCAGTTTCTCATCATCTCTTTTGATTTCTAGATAATAGCAACACTGAATAAGGTAGCAGCAGTAGCTTAGTGAAATGACTGTCTGTGAACGAGTGTTCTAGGAAGCAGTTTCTCTAACGAAGGTCCTGGCGCTTTCGGAGTTAAATCTACATTATTTTACATCTACTAATCTGTACATCTCTGTGACAAGATGCTTAATCACGGGAATAATGTTACCATTAGTTCAGCAATAGTCTTTTAAGAATATCTTACTATACAAATTTGTGATTCCTCGTTGTCGTCAAAAAATGACGTCATCAACAATCAACAATTGGACGTAGATAGTTGACTAACCAAGAACAGTTGGCCTCTGAACAGCGGCGTAAAGAACTAAAACATAAGACCTACTTAACAAATAAAGAAAAGCGAAGGGGGAATTACTTGCAAGGGTGGGGTTGGACGTAGATAGTTGACTAACCAAGAACTGTTGGCCTCTGTTCAGCGACGTAAAGAAGTAAAATATCAGATTACAAGAAGCGCTCCGAAAGGATTAGTCGTCGTTTTCGTCAAAAAATGACGTCATCAACATAATCACCTTATATTTGTTTATACACGGAATTGTTGTGGAACAACAATGCCGTGTACACAACAATGCCGAGTAAACAAATAACGCTTAGTACCAAGCCAGTCGCATTATCACTGCTCTACAAGCAGCACATCGTCTCCGAACAGCGACATAAAACTATTTAAGAAATGATGAAAAGTGAAATAAGACGTACTAACACCAACAAGGTAATCTGATACTGATAATAACACTCATTCAAGTCATACTGCGCATTCAAGGGTCAAAACACTTGGATAAGACACTAAACCAACCCTCCGAAGGGGGGGGGTTAGTTTTATGTCTTATTCAACCAAGCCCCCCTTCGGGGGGGGAGTTTAATTTCTTACTCAAGGGTTAAAACACTTGAATGGGACACTAAACTAACCCACCCGAATGGGGGTTAGTTTAGTGTCTTACTCAAGATTTTAAAACGCAACTTAGAATTAGAGAATTAGTCAAGTGTTTTAACCCCCATTCGGGGGGGGTTGTTTTGTTTCTTACTCAAGGGTTAAAACACTTGAATGAGACACTAAACTAACCCTCCGAAGGGGGGGGGTTAGTTTTATGTCTTATTCAACCAAGTTTAATTTCTTACTCAAGGGTTAAAACACTTGAATGGGACACTAAACTAACCCACCCGAATGGGGGTTAGTTTAGTGTCTTACTCAAGATTTTAAAACGCAACCAACCCCCTATTGTTTTAACCCTCAATTCGGGGCGGTTAGTTTAGTTTCTTACACAAGGTTGGTTGCGTTTTACAAACTTGACCAACCCCCCCGTAGGAGCTCCGAAAGGAGCGCCCTGCTCTAGTCAGTAATAAAATGCTTGAATATCATAACTAATTAAACTTAATACACAAATGTGTTTGAGGAAAGGGAGGGATGGGCGAGTCTATCAAGTTAAGTCTTACTGAGATATAGAAGCGGAAATGGAGGCTATTATATGAGATGTTGGGAAATCTGAGAGAGGCGGTACAGATCGACAAATAATAAATAGAGCGGTGGAATTGGTTCAGAAAGCGAGCGGGAGAGATTAGTGCAGTTCGAGCGACGGGTCACGTCGGTGCTGAGATGAAGGACGTCAGGACGTCCCCGCCAGTCATAGTAGTCTGGTCCGAGTTCGACGAGGTTCAATCAACTTTTGACTTCGGTACACAGGTCTGTCAATTTTTCATTGTTGTCAAAGCAAAGGATTTCCCGTTTAATATTATCAATATTAGACGTACACATTTTATTTTATTTGTGGTTTTTAACGACACTGTCAGTAGCTCAGACTAAATGGCATGGAATAATACGAATATTTATAAATAATGATTTGAGAAGGGTCTTGTGCCGCTTGGTCTCAGGGACCGTGGGTTCGAATCCCACTCAAGCCATGGATGTTTTTCTGTGTTGTGTTGTCCTGTGTACAGGTAGAGGCCTTGCGACGGGCCGATCCCTCGTCCAAGGAGTCCTACCGAATGTCTATAGATCGAGCCAATTGAAAAGCTGGGGACCCATAAAGGTACAAACATTGTTAAACCGGAAAAAGAGGAGATTTGGGAAGGATGTGGAACTAAGCGGTCGTGTCCTAATTTAAGATACTATATCGGCATTTGCCTGAAGGCACTAAGGATTCACGAAAAACCTCAGTCAGGCCTAGCGGTAGACACAATTAAAAGACAAACCAGTCCAGTGGATATATGTGTCACATATTAGTCTTGTCAAAAACAAAGAAATTTCCGTTAAACGTCATCAATAACAGTTAGGCTAATTAGGATTTTGAGAAATTTAAATAGCTAACGAATTCGGCACACGTTTTTCAATACATTCATATAACCAAAGGCACAGAATTCTCCATTAAGCCCAACGCAGATTAGAAGTTATGTAGAATCTTGAGACACTGAAAGTATAAACATTCAAAGTAAGGGATTCGTGTAGTTACCAAAAAACTAGACTTTTTAAGAAAGATTATCGGAATTTATAGGCATTGCTCGTGAGTCTCACAGTTTGAAATAAAACTAATATCCATCAGCGCAAATGCCTCCTATTATAAGCTACAGTACATACGCTTGATTTATAAAAATTTTTGTTCAGTAGTTATTAAGAAATACAGCGTCACAAAAATATGTATGCGTTTATACACATTCAATTAAATAAAAACATTTTAATGAACTAAATAATTTCATGTGTCTGCATCGGCACTTAGCGAATTAGAGAAAGTAATTTAGGTGGTCAAAATGACCACCGTCAGCTTCGTGGCACAGTTGATTACAGTCAGCAACTGACTGGCACTCAGCCATCGTAGTTGCTGGTGTGCTTGCATCACCTTGGGATATTCTGTACATTTGAATGTTTCGTATATTAAGGGAATTTTCTACCTTGACTTCGGTTTTAAAAAATTTTGTTCCTTTAGATAGGAACACGGACTCGCCAAGTTATTAAGCGATGGTTGTGCTGATGTTCGTACAATCGGGGAACCAGAAGTAAATTTGTATTTGTAAATGTGGTTAATATAATAAACTTCAGAGACGAGAGATTTAAATTGGAGTCTTTGGTACAAAAGGGTGATAACATCAACAAAACGACCAAATCATTGTTAAAAGAAGATTAAAAACAGCAAGATGATTAGCCCAATATTATGGTGTATGAGGTGGAAAAAAACAGCATGCTTTTTAAGATTATAAAAATAAATGAATTAAAAATAATACTACATAAAATACTGTACATTTAAAAAAAAAATCCCTACCGAGAAAAATATAACAAATTACTTATGCTGTTTCACACAAAGGGCTGATTATTTCTGGAAAAAGAGACCTATTATGAACTTTCCTAAGCTCACCAGGGTGGCTTAAAATTAGGTATATGCTTACGTCTTACTTGAAACAAACAGAAACACAGTCTCACACAAATTACGATTTTAATTTAGTTCCTAGTGAAAACAAATCTCGCGTTTTCTATGAACGTCTATGATTCAAGGTGAATTTAAGTAAATATTACGCTACAAATACATATGGTCGGGCCTTGAACTCGGCCACAGGTTGAGACTAAACGAGAGGTTGATGGCACAGTAAATTTATAGCACTACGAGGACCACGTCCCTGTGAAACACATGAACGCCAGAGAACAGGATACCGAATTGCCGCCCGAACCATGCCGTCGGCCATTTCCGCTGACTGCTTATGTGTTCTTTGAACTGGTACGGCGGCAGCTAATGTCTGTTTATTTGGCTGTCCGTATCTTTCATCTCGCAAACCACGAACAAATTTTGGTAGGATGTGGTAGCCTACCGGCGTCTATATATACATGTGGCATGCGACTTTCAGTGAACAGAATGAGTTTTAACATTCCAGTCAGCGAACTGACAAAAACAAGTGGTCGCTACAAACAGGTATACCGCATCAAGCGAGGCATTTTACTTCTCTGGATAAGATTAAAGTATTAAACAATTTAATAAATTTAGGTCCATACATGGCGAAACAATTACAGAACGTTCGCCAAGATCTGACCTTGAAAACGACACCTGACTCCAGAATTCCCCACGTGATTGCGTGGGCATCTGTTGGGGATTCCCCAGTCATACCCCGCAGAAATGCAAGTAGGTCTTCATGCAATGTATCCGTTATTGTTTTCAGTTTGTTACCAAAATTGGAATGTGCAGACAAATTTTAATAAAATTCTCCAATAACAAATTTAATGACACGCAGTTCAGCCTATATCGAGTTGTCACAAATAGACAGACGGACATACATGAAGCAGCTAAAAGACGCATTTTTGTAAATTTTAGTTTCAAATATGCCTAAAAACCGGGCAATGAAAAGTGAATTCATCGACGAATTACTACGTTATTAAAGATAAAGAGTACCATGTCATGACAGCGTATAGGGAGAGCGGAGACAAAACTCCACTCTTACTTAACCTCTGTGTTCATAGTCCAGCAAATTGTCTCCCAGAAATAAAGCCTACGTGAGCCCCAGAAAAAATTAGCAGGGCGGTGGAAAGAACAATGCTGTCCCTACCGAGAATCGAACCCCAGTCATCCACTTTGTAGTCAATGGCTTGACTTAAGCATCCCAGTTCACAGTACTGCATTATTGGGGTAATTAAACAGACGTATTTAATGAATGCTTCAACGAAGGCGGGCACCAATACACAAAAGAGATTTTTTAAAATGCAGTGCGTGAATCTCTTGTTACTGCCACAATGACACTTTCTCATTTTGTTCCAGGATGACAATCAATCTAATGATGGACTGTTTCATCATAAAGCTATCGACCTGGAGAAGCTCTTCACTCCAGCATCCGACTCTGGAGAGGTCACACCTTCCAGAAACAGTAAGTTTCTTGGTATATAACCCGGAAATTTCGCTACTTAGGGCACGGAGCCATTTAGTAGATTACTGATAGTGGTAGAGAAAGTGGAAGGCTAGTTTACTTTCATTTTGCAGACATGACAGCAAAGATTCGATAATGTAACGCAACATACAAACGAAGATACAACTTTCTTATTTCACTTCGTAGTTTTTGGGTGCTTGAGACCTCACCACAAACTGAGATTTGAGGTCCTCAGGGAGGTAAAGATGTCGATCGCATCTTCTGTACATGCTTACCAACGTAACAACCTAGAAGCTAACATGGCGTCACACCTCAGAAAACCACGGTCGATTTGCCGTTCACTGATTTTCTGCCCAAGGGGTCCTATAACCTATTTGAATACAGTTGGACTGTACCACAGAATCAGATGTTAGAATATGAAAAAAATTTCCAACGAAAAAGATTTCGTGTAAATTAATAAAATTAAAAAACTTACTGGTGGCAGAATTTTCAAAGTAGATGCCTCTAATACCAACGTTCACCCCGGGATACGATCCTGAGTCTCTTCGCTTCACCCTCATAAGCTGTCCCCTAACAACCATTTTATTTTTTGTAGCTTAAGTGCGTCATGTTTGTGTTGAAATCAAATATATATTTATTATCCCAGTCTATACACAAACGTATTTAAAATGTTGTTGTTAAAATTTTTATATAACACTCAGGTTTATATCGTCGTTTTTATCATTTTAAAACTATTATATATTTCGATGCAATGCATTTATTGATTTATAGGTATATTTGTAGATTTTTCTGTCTTCATAATGCTCTTCATGTCTGTAGTTAGAGGTTCATTTTCTGTGAAATTAACGTCCAATTTTACTATTATGAAATGAGCATGGAAATTGACATAGAAAATAAACACAAAGAAATAACATATGAAGATGATGTCATAAAACATCGAAACATGTCGTGCAATTAATAATAAGCGCCATAATAAATGTAACATCATACTACGATAAAAGCGCCATAATATAACATAATATAACTTATTGTAATATTTTATACTACAGATGTTATAGTGTTATATAAAAATTTTAACAACAACATTTTAAATACGTTTGTGTATAGACTGGGATAATAAATATATATTTGAACCATTTTAATAATTTCCTCCAATCCCTATCTCCGTTTGAGAAGTGTAATTTCTTACACATTTCCACCAATGCGAATTAATTTCCTTAGCAATCTAAAACTGTTAGCAATAAGGCAGGTAAAGTCACTATTCCTTTTCAGTTTAATTTAGAAACTGTATGGGTAGTTACGGCCCATTCTGTTAGTAAACACATGTTTTCTGTGTGTCCTCTGCCGCCGCCATGTTTTTAATTGTTGGTTTACAAACAATATTGTAAACATAATTTGTAGGAAAGTTTATATTATATCTTCATAAAAAATCCATATTCCTACGTACATAGTCCATCCCTGTCAAATTGAAAACTAAATAACATTTTTCGCACAGCCGTCAAAACCCACAAGCCCACAATCGATATCTTCACCGGTAGGTTAGAACCTCAAACCTCCCGCGAGATACGCTAATTAAAGTATTTATTGAAACTTTTCCAATTATGATAATC